AACTGAAAAAACACTGAAGGACTGACCTGTCCTACAAAATGAATGAACTTGAAAACATGCTAAGTGAGAAAAGCTAGACACAAAAGGTCACATATTATGTGATTCCATTTATATGAAATGTCCAGAACAGGCAAATCTATAAAGACAGAAAGTAAATTAGTGGTCAGGGGGGTGGACCGGGGGAGTGGGAGGGTTGGGAGAGAATGAGAAATAATGCTAATAGGTCTGGAGTAATAGAAATGTTCTAAACTTAAAGCACGTTGATAGCTGCACAACCATGTGAACATACTAAAACCACTGAATTGAACACTTTAAAAAAGTGAATTTTATGTCAATAAGGATGTTTTAAAAGTCTGCAAGCTGTTCTACGGAGTGTGCCCAAGAACAAAACAGAGCAAGATAAATCTCTAATAACATGGTGATGATGAGCAAGGATTTCAAGAAAGAAATTAAAAAACAAAGAAGTATGAGGAACGTAAATATTAATTTTGGCCTTCTGGAAAACAATGGTATCACTGACAATAATTGGCATAATTGCAAAGCGATGGCAGTTCATTAATTATCAATTATTTCAATGTATTTCAGTAAATACAAATATTTGTGTTTTTTTGTTTTTTTGTTTTTTTAAGATTTTTTATTTATTTATTTGTGAGAGAGAATGAGAGACAGAGAGCACGAGAGGGAGGAGGGTCAGAGGGAGAAGCAGACTCCCCGCTGAGCAGGGAGCCCGATGCGGGACTCGATCCCAGGACTCCAGGATCATGACCTGAGCCGAAGGCAGTCGCTTAACCAACTGAGCCACCCAGGCGCCCCAAATATTTGTTATCTGACTCTCAAGTACAGGTAAAAGTTCTGGTAGATCTGAAACCAAAAATACATGTATCACTTATTACATTAGCTTCCCCTAACTCTAACTGATCACTGGAACCACTTTAGCTTTAATAGCTATTCTGGGTACTACCCCAAGAAAGTCTGATTCACTAAGTCTAGAGCAAACCACTGCATGGAGGTTTGGCATATTATATACTATTAGCTTATTTTTCTTTGTTTCACTTGTGTGAGTTTTATTGCCATTAGGTATAAAATCACATACTTTTCTATTTCCCACAGTATCTATTAGACATAAAGCAGACATTAATAATTGCAGAGCACTTAAAAGTCCATAGTAGTATCTAGCTTCAGCTGAAAGGAAATCGGTTAGATACAATCCACATACTTGGGAAAACATTTTTTTGTCACATCTTTGATTCCTTACCTGTTCAGAAATCCAGAAATGCAAAGGCTTTTTGTTTTCATGTTACCATATGGGTTTTCACTTAATAATGACATGTTCTCAAGGAATGGCTACTATAGTTGAGCTTACAGCTCCAGAAATCTACTGGACTATCTTACCTATCTGACTCTTACCTATCTCCTTTCTTCTCATTTTTAGACAAAACAGAAAGCCCTGGTATATTAAACCTGTCCCACTACTAAGATCCAAACCCTGGTTCTCCACTGATATCACCTCTTATGCTACTGAGAAAGTGAATAGCTTCAAGTTATCACCACAGACAGGACTAATACAAAAGCAAACAAGCCCTATACCTTTATGCCTCTTGCTTTTCTTTTTTCTGGAGACGGTTCTCTCACGGATGCTCTCCTCCTGGGCATCCATCTCATCACTGCTGTCAATGATGTCACAGGGCTCACCAACCCCAGAAAGAGCTTCCACTGCAGGAACCTGGGAGGCTTCCAAGCCACAAAGAGATTTTACTAGAAGAAAATAAGGGGAGAATGAGATGGCAGAGTCCCATCCAGAAATACAAATGACTTAGACAGGATATCAGCATCCATGAGGATAAGGAAAACAAGGGGGGGGGGGAGCAATAGTGTGAGAGAGTCTGCTGAAGAAAGGTGAGAACTAAGAAGAAAGAAATTTTAGCATTTTAAATACTAAAAACTGGAAAGCAATAGGCAAACTGACCCCAAAGTTGCAGAGATTGACTCCTTAAAAGTGTCAACTTCAGACCTGAAGAAAAAGGGAGCGCATTATTCTCCCACTATAAATCCTGCAGGATAAAAACAAAAAGTAAATGCTATTCTCATTTGTATAAATTCTGAGGAGCAATGTTTGAGAGAAAATGAAGCCAATTTGACCCTGTTCCTATGCTGGAGACAGTAGGTGTCATAAAAACACAAGTCTCAGGTACCTGTGAGTAAAAAGCTTGAAAGTAAGAGAAACATGAGAAAAGGAAAAGCATACCTCAGGATTATTACACAAAGAAACAAACTGCACAGTCAGTGGGGAATACATGTGAACCACAGGAAAAAGATGACTAACCAAGAAGAAAGCAGTGGAAACTACAGAAGAGTACGCAAAGATTTTTTTTTTTTTTTTTTTTTTTTTTTTGATGCAAAGAAAGAAAATATTTCTGCTACAAAAAGCGCTACTGCTCTTGGCTAATCCTCCCTCCCCCCTCCTCCGAATACATGAGGGGCCACTGAAGACAGCGAACACGTTTATGGGAAGATGCCCAAAGGATTTTGCAAGAAAAACACTGAGGCGGAGTTCCAGGAAAATAAAACACCTAGTTCCGCCTTCCCGGCCTGAGTCTTTCGGCAGCCTACCTTCCTGCTGCACAGCATTGGCGACGGCTTTCTTGACCCGTCCAGACCTCACGACCGCCGGATCCGAGTTGGCATAATCCGCCACGGTCACTGAAATACAGCAACAACCCTCAAAGGAGGAAGCCTTCTCTCCGTCAGCGTCCTCTCCGCCAAGACCTGCTCACTGCAGGTCTCCGGCCCCAGCGCCCTCCCATTACAGGCAAGCGAGCGCTCGCCTCGGCGCTGTCCAGCCCCCTCCCTGCCGCCAGCACCCAGTCTTTCAACGCCCCCGCCCCCTCGCCCACCTCGTCCAGAGCAGGCGTCGTGGGCCCGGAACTTGAGTCGCTTCCCTCTCTTGGGCATGGCGACCGCGTCGGGGCGAGGCCGGCCTAGCAGGCCGGGCCCCCGGGCCATGTCTTGGGCCGGAGAGCCGGCTTCGGGAGCCGCGCGCCAGCTCCGCCCGGCTCAGCGGCCATCCCGCACCGGAGTCCGCAGCTCTCGCGAGGACTGCCCCGCGTCGCGTTAGCAGCCGACGCCCCATTCGTAAGCCAATCACCGCCTGGTCTGCGGAGTACGTCATCATCCAGCGCCTACAGAGCACCTGCAGCGGAGTTCGGTAGGGGTCGACCTGTGTCTGGATTGCTGTTGTTCTGGGTAGTGTGGAATTTCGCCACACCTCTTGTGAGGTGATTGGTGTCTCAGACTTGGAACCCATGCCCGCGTTGACTAGAACTGAGTTTACACCCTGGTCTCCACGGTTTTTCAGCTACCGCCTCTGTCCACACTCCAGGTTCACTTCACCCAAACGTCCGTACGTTGCCGCCTTCGTGCTTGCTATTCCAACATGAGTCTGTAAGAGTCTTCACTCTAATCCTTATACAAAAGCTATAAAGTTCTGAATTCTCAAAATGGAGGGAGGGGTTCTCAAAAGTTTTTCGATGTACCATCATCCTCCAAACAAAACACTAGAAGGATCGATGAGGAAAGAAAATGGTCATTCCTTTGTATTGAGAAAGAAAAAAGTCACTGAGCGTAGATTACAGAACTGTGAGGTAGCAGGACCCTGGACTGGTGGCGCCAGGACGAATAAGAAGCTATTTAGTGTTCCGAGTTATGTTTTGTCCTAACTTCCTTTCTGTTCTCAAAAGATGCTAATCCAGGTCTTGAGAACCCAGACATCCAATCTGCGGGATCCACCCTAAGACATTTAGGAGACTCCTGTTTTTAATGACTAGTGATTTTAGTGATTTAGTGATTACCTAATATATAAAAGTTCATTAGGAGCAAACCACTGCCTTTTACTAACATTGTGCTAATAGGCTTGAATCAATTAGGAATTATAATTGAAGCTCAATATAATCGGTTATAATTGTGAATCATTCAAATTTAATTTATCTAAAGGCATAACATAAAACAAGGGTCCAATAGACTGTTAACTAAAAGAAAATTGTTTCAAATAATTTTTCCATGTATACATAATTCATGTTTGTTGTCAAGTTCAAAGTGCAACTGGTAAGCACTGAGCCTTCTCATTTCACAATGTTATCAGTAAAAAATTAATAAGGCCAGTGTTCATGTAGATTTCTGCTGATGTGGCAATTTGCTGAAAGCACTCAGGGATCAGGACTCCAGAGGGAATCAAAGGTGCAAAAGATAAAAATCCTATTGGGGCACCTGGGTGGCTCAGTCATTAAGCGCCTGCCTTCGGCTCAGGTCATGATCCCAGGGTCCTGGGATCGAGCCCCACATCAGGCTCTCTGCTCCGCGGGAAGCCTGCTTCTCCCCCTCCCACTCCCCCTGCTTGTGTTCCCTCTCTCGCTGTCTCTCTCTCTCTCTCTCTGTCAAAATAAATAAATAAAATCTTTAAAAAAAATCCTATTAAAATGCTGTCACTGTTGCAAACTTAAAGGTTTTAACTGAAATGTTCTCATTTTCAGTGGTATGCACTACTAATTTAATGCATTGGAATGAAAGAGGTGCTAATCCCAAAACTGTTTATTTCACCTTTCAAAATTTCAAGAATGAGAAATAAGGCCACTCAGACTGTTAAGTCCTTTGGCCACTTTAGTGGAACAAAATGCCTATAAGATCTTTTATTCCACCTTCTGTTAAAAAGCAACAACTTTTTAGAGGCACCTGGGTGGCTCAGTCGTTAAGCGTCTGCCTTCAGCTCAGGTCATGATCCCAGGGTCCTGGGATCGAGCCCCACATCAGGCTCCCTACTCTGCAGGAAGCCTACTTCTCACTCTCTCCCACTCCCCCTGCTTGTGTTCCCTCTCTCGCTGTCTCTCTCTCTCTCTGTCAAATAAAATCTTAAAAAAAAAAAAGCAACAACTTTTAATTAATACCACTGTTAGTTTCCAGATCCAAAATACAGGTTCTTTCTAGAAAGACAGGTTGTGAACGTTACTAAAAGAGCTGTTACATCTAAATGCAAGTAGCATCTAGCTCTTCCCTCTTGCGGCCATCGCTGAAGCGCCAGCGGCCAAAATGAAGTTTAATCCCTTTGTGACTTCTGACCGGAGCAAGAACCGAAAACAGCATTTCAGTGCACCTTCCCACATTTGCAGGAAGATCATGTCTTTCCCTCTTTGCAAAGCGCTGAGACAGAAGTGCAACGTTCGTTCCATGCCCATCCGAAGGGATGATGAAGTGCAGGTTGTGCGAGGACACTGCGAAGGTCAGCAGATTGGCAAAGTAGTCCAGGTTTACAGGAAGAAGTACGTCATCTACATTGAACGAGTGCAGCGAGAGAAGGCAAACGGCACAACCATCCATGTAGGCATTCACCCTAGCAAGGTGGTTATCACCAGACTAAAACTGAACAAAGACCGCAAAAAGATCCTTGAACGTAAAGCCAAATCTCACCAAGTAGGAAAGGAAAAGGGCAAATATAAGGAAGAAACAATTGAGAAGATGCAGGAGTAAAGTAATCTTATATGCGACTTGAAATAAAAACTGTTAAAATGAAAAAAAAATAAATAAGTAAATGCAAGTAGCATCTAGCTATTAACCTAGTATTAGGAAGAAGGAAGGAGACTGTTTAAAGTCTTTGTCCTCAACAAAGTGGAAAGTTTAAGGACAGTACGAATGAATACATACAGCATTAGGATGCTATCTTTCTAAGTTATATCCATACTACTTTGGGGGTATTAAGTCCTCCTTTATTTTGGACTAATAGTAAATGATAGTGGTAGTGGTTGGTAGTTTGAGGTCCTTTCTTTTCAAAAGTGGCAAATCTATGCTGTTTATCAGAATCTTCTTTTAAATTTCAATATCCTGTGAAGTCCTAAGACTAGGAACCATTGTTTTTGGAGACACTGGAAAATTATTCCTTCTGATTTGAAGAAATACATAACAGTAGCATTTCCTATAGGAAGCAGTATAAAGCAATATAGAAAAGTAATAAAGAGTGTGGATTCTGAAGCCAGACTTAACCTGGGTTCAGAAAATATCTCTGCCACTTCTTATCCACATGACCTTGGAAAAGTTACTTAATCTCCCTGGGCCTCAGTTTCCTGTCTATAAACTAAAGATAGTGATAACTCCTGCTTTATAGGGTTATTGAAATAATTAAATTAATCCATTGGAAAGTATTTAAGATAATACATAGTAGTCACTCAATAAATGTCAGCTATTATTGTTGTGGTGGTGATAGTTAAAATTGTAGTGTTATTGTTATTTAAAGGCACCTTAGATGACTAAGGTCCTTTTTGCTTCTGCATGAAGAGAGAAATTGAAGCAAGACACACATTCTAGTTGATTAAAATGCTAGAAGAGGGCGCCTGGGTGGCTCAGTTGGTTAAGCGACTGCCTTCTGCTCAGGTCATGATCCTGGAGTCCCTGGATCAAGTCCCGCATCGGGCTCCCTGCTCGGCAGGGAGCCTGCTTCTCCCTCTGACCCTCCCGCTCTTGTGCTCTCTCTCATTCTCTCTCTCTCAAATAAATAAATAAATCTTTAAAAAAAAAAAAGATTGTCTTAAAAAATAAAATAAAATGCTAGAAGACTAGCTGATATTTACTGAGTACTTACCATGCAGTGACAGTGCAGAATTCAAACTGGATTCTCTGGCTTCAGGATTGTCTGGCTTCAAAGCTCATATGTAAAATCACTGTACCATATTACCTCTAAAATAAAGGAAATCATATGAAAGCTTTGCCTTTGAATAATATTAATAGCCTAAACAGATGTGGAGTCAAACAGTGGCCAAGAGGGGGAAAATCTATAGGACAGAAAACAAACTGAAAGGGTACTTAATAAATTTCTGTAATGTGCCAAAGCTGTAGACAAGGTATGTGAAGAATCTGATTCAAAATAAGATTCAGTGGCACTAGAAAAAGCACATTAACTTAAATCTGGAGAAAAGTGCTTGTGACTTTTTATATACTTTATTTAAAATACAGTGTGTGGTTGGGGCGCCTGGGTGGCTCAGTTGGTTAAGCGACTGCCTTCAGCTCAGGTCATGATCCTGGAGTCCCTGGATCGAGTCCCGCATCGGGCTCCCTGCTCGGTGGGGAGTCTGCTTCTCCCTCTGACCCTCCCCCCTCTCATGTACTCGCTCTCTCTCATTCTCTCTCTCTCAAATAAATAAAATCTTAAAAAAAAAATTATAAAATACAGTGTGTGGTAAAATAGTTTAAGATGGAGTGTTTTTTTTTTTTTTCAGTTAATAATAAATTGGGGTGCCTGGGTGGCTCAGTCGTTAAGCGCCTGCCTTCGGCTCAGGTCATGATCCCAGGGTCTTGGGATCGAGCCCCGCATCAGGCTCTCTGCTCCGCGGGAAGCCTGCTTCTCCCCCTCCCACTCCCCTTGCTTGTGTTTTCTCTCTCGCTGTGTCTGCCTCTGTCAAATAAATCAGTAAAATCTTTAAAATAATAATAATAATAATAACAATAATAATAAATAGAGTAGTCTAGTAATGGGGAGCCCAGGTTCTAGAAGCAGATGTCTGGGTTTAAATCCCTGTTCCTCCTTTTAATAGCTACATGACCTTGTAAGTGAGGAAAAAAAAACTTTTCTTCTACCCTCTTAGGTTCTGTTCCTGGAGTCCTGCAAATTAAACTGACAAAAGACAGATTAACATGAGGTAAATATCGGTTTATTTACATGTGCAACATGCACACACATGAGAGACATCAGTGATGAATAACTCAAAGAGATTATTAGGTTTGGGGTTTATATACCATCTTAATAGGTGAAAGGGAGGAGGAGAAAGGCACTTAGAGGAAAACAAATGACTTTTTGGAAAGATAAATGGATTTTCAGGAGAACAAACAGGAAATAAAGTTTGTGACAATGATTTTCTATTTTGGTCTTTTTGTCTCCTTTTGGACCATAAAACTTCCCTAAATAAAGGATTTAAGGTAGGTTTTATTCTCATTTTTTTTTTTCATTCTCATTTTCATTCTATTTCATTCTCATCCTTCCTTCTGGGAGTAGATCTGTCCTCAAGAAGAATTTATGGTAGTCTTATTTCCCAGAAGTTGTTGCTTTTAGTCAGATAAGGAACGCTCTAAAAAGCCATTTTTTTTCTGCAGCTGTTGAATCTCAAATACCCTTAGCTTAAAATAATCCTTATGCCAAAGTGGCATATTTGGGGGTGGCATATTCTGTTCCCTCAACCTTGAACAAATTACTTAATCTCACTAAAATTCAGTTATCTATAAAATGGGCATAATAATTGTACCCAATTAATAGAGTTGTTGTAAGGATTAAATAAGATAATATTTGGAATGCTCTTATTTATATTTAAAAATTTATATTTAAAAATATAATATATAATAAATAAATAAACAAAAATATAACATAATATAATAACCACTTGGTGAAATTAGTTATTATTTGTACTTAAAACTAGAAACTTACTGCTTTGAATCAGTAATTCTCAACCTTGGTTGCACAATGGATCCCTGATGGAATTTCACAAAGTACCAGTTACCTAGCCCCACAACCAAAGGTTCTTATTCAATAAGTCTGAGGTAGGGCCTGGGCACCCACATTTTTTTAAAAAGACCCCCAGATAACTTTAATGTTCAGCCCAAATATTGAGGTTTAGATCAAGAGTGAACAAACAAACTAGTGGCTACAGGACGAATCTATCCCCTGCTTACTTTTGAAAATAAAGTTTTAGTGGAACATGGTCACACCCACTTGTTTATGTATATCTGTGGCTACTCTTACTCAAATCTAAAATATTTACTGTTTACAGCAAGTTTGTCAATTCCTAGTTTAGAATGAAGTTGCTGGGCAGCCTATACCACATGGGGGCAATATAGCCTCATTATAGGATCAAGATTTTGGGGACTAATAAAACTTGAAAATTGACTGCTAAACTAAACACATCAGGAATTGTAAAAATGAATGTATTTTTCCTATCTATAAGCTCTTTTCTCTAGTTTCCAATCATGCACAAGTCTATTCTGTATTGAAAACATCTATGCCGGGGTGCCTGGCTGGCTCAGTCAGTAGAGCATATGATTCTTTATTTCTGGGTTGTGAGTTCAAGCCCTGTGTTAGGTGTGAAGATTACTTAAAAATAAAATCGTAAAAAAAAAAAAAAAAAAACCTATGCCAAACACTGATCCCTCCTCTGTCTACCATTCATGCCTAGTAAATATAGCTTTTACCCGTGGCCTTTCTTTCTTTAGCACCTAATCATTTCTGGTGCCTTTGAACTCGGGCTTCAAAGCTCATTTGTTCATTGAAGGTTACTCTCCAGGGTCACCAATGACCTCCTAACTGTATTTTCTGAGTTCTCTTTCTTGTATTTCTATGGAGATCCCATCCTCCTTGAAACCCTCTACTCCATGGCCTTTCACATTCTCAGTTCTCTTTTATCTGGCCACTCTCACAGTTAAGAAGCTCTTTGTTCGGGGCGCCTGGGTGGCTCAGTTGTTAAGTGTCTGCCTTCAGTTCAGGTCATGATCCTGGGGTCCTGGGATCAAGCCCCGCATCGGGCTCCCTGCTTGGCAGGAAGCCTGCTTCTCCCTCTCCCCACTCCCCCTGCTTGTGTTCCCTCTCTCGCTATGTCTCTCTCTGTCAAATAAATAAAATCTTAAAAAAAAAAAAAAAGCTCTTTGTTCTTCTCCTTTAACCTGTATTCTCTTAATATGCTCTGTTTAGGATGGGTATCAGTCCAAGTAGGTGCACTACTTTGCTTTTGTAAATTGTTATTAGCCCTACAAAGTTTGGGAATTGGGTTGCTAACTTACTAAACCATGGTTTAGTACAAAATGGGACCAGATAAGAAGGAGTTGATACTAATGGAAGAGGTTTGATCAAGCATCATGTCCAAAGGGCAGACCACAGTAAGTTAGGGGGTGGACACACCCTTCCTTAACCTCATAAGCCTAAACTTCATGACTTGGTCAACTTTGAGGGCTAGTCTCAAGTCTAAACTTAGAAATCTTTATACTGTTTCCTCCATTAGGGAACATCTGCTCTGCTCCTTTCTTCTGGGTAACATAGGAGTCCTGTGGGATGCAAAAAAAAAAAAAAAAAAGGAAGGAAGGAAGGAAGGAACTGCATTGCTACCTGTAAACACTGTACTTGCAACTTACTATAATTAGCTCAGAGCTTTGAGAACTACACTTAAAAATTCCTAAGCTACCTCCCCCTATAGCTACTGCCTAACTACCAGAAAATACTACCACTAGACTCCCACTCAGTAATTCTTTCCACATACTACTATAGATGGAACACTGGTCCCCATATACAAAAGTATGAATACGTCATATTGTTGTTTTGTTTTGTTTTGGCAGGATAAGTGGAGCCAAATAACCAGACTGGTCTTTGTATTCAGTGGCCTCCCGCATAAAAAATGGCTAACAGTGTCATCCGTAGATTGGGAACAAAGAAGGGATGGTGGGTTATTTATTAAGCCAACTAACTGTTTCTTCCTTCAAATGATAAAGTAGAATAGGCCCCTTTTCAGGAAAGCTTGTACTAGAACTAAGCCAAAGCTATTGAGAATCACAGGTTTAGATTGGGGCTCAACATAGGTAGATGGGAAATAGAGGTTATAACCACACAGAGCTAAAAATAGCAAACTCAGAGCGCCTGGGTGGCTCAGTCGTTAAGCGTCTGCCTTCAGCTCAGGTCATGATCCCAGCAGGGTCCTGGGATGGAGTACCGCATCGGGCTCCCTGCCCAGCAGGAGGCCTGCTTCTCCCTCTCCCACTCCCCCTGCTTGTGTTCCCTCTCTCGCTGTGTCTCTCTCTGTCAAATAAATAAATAAGATCTTAAATAAATAAAAATAGCAAGCTCTACCGCTCAGTGAATGCTAAGAATAAACAGAGCTACCAAAAAGGGCTTTGAGGACCAAGTCTTAGCCACATGGGAAGAGTTGACAACTCCATCTGTGCATGTGGGAGAATGTTGAAATGCTGGCCACATTTCCCCTGGACCCTCAGACTTTGGCTCAAACCGACAACCACATTATTACCTAAAATACCTAAACCTTCGACTTTACCTCACACATCAGCTTACATACTCTGCAAATTGAAAACAACCTCCCTATCCTGCCTTGTTATCAGAAGTCTAGATAAATAAATCACATACCAGGAGATGTTTATTAACTTGAACTAAAAGAAACTGATCCTGACATCTTAAGTATGACTGGATACACCTGGTTCTAAGGGACTGCTTTCCCTGTCAAGTGGAGAAGGTTTGTATCTAAGAAAGCTTATCTGGCAAGAAAGAATGAAGCAAACTCTCCAGGAAACACAGCACCTGAGATGAAGATGGTATTTCTTAGATTTCTGACTCAAACTGGGTTTTCTGTGTTCTTATTACAATTCCTCTTGAGATCCAGGTGTATTCCTTCCCTCGTTTTCATGAGACACCCCTGAGATCTTAAGCTACTTTGAGTTGGTTTTTTCTGTTAGTAACTAAAGAATCCTGACTGCTTTGCTCTCTAAGCCTGAAACCAACCTGTACCAACTTGCAGTGCAGCTTCAGCAAGCCCCTGGTTCCCCCTGGAGAAGGGAGGGCAGCACATTTTGTGAACAAGAAAAACAAACATCCAGTTTTTAAGATTGCTACAGCTTCAACAGGATCACTCAACAGGACAGCAGACAATTTAAACAGATCACCAACATTCTGGACCATCTCCACAGACCTTCGATTTTAATGAATTTCCATTTTTCGGCATTAGCCAAAAGAATATGTTGGGCTCTTCTGACAAATGACCTTGTATTCTTCATAGGTCTAATGAATGGATTTCTCATAGCCTCATAGAATAGTTGTCATCTGTTTAGATGACATCTTGATTTATATGCCCATTTAACCTCTCATGAGTCCCTGCTCTGAGCCACAGCACCTCTGACATAACCTTGAAAAATTTATAGTTGAAGGTCCAAAGGGAGAGCTCTT